GTGCTTTGTGGCTGTGCTGGTGGTGGTGTTCCTCTTGCCTTCTTTTCGTTTCCGTGCACATTCTTCACCACGATTCTTCTTTTGCGAGGCTCTCCTGGTTGATCGGTTGCCGTGGTGGTAGTCAACTTCGTTGGTGTTGTTGGTGTTTGATGGTTGAGAGGGCTGAGATCAAAGGATGGAATGTCGTCTTCCCTTGTCACTTTAGGCTTCTCAGCAACTTCGGTTGTCAGTTTTGGAGCCTCTTCTCGAACAACATCATCTGACACCGTTTTCTCGCTGTCAGTTTCTGCAGTCTTTTGCGCAGCTTGCCCTGTATTCCCTTCTTCTGTTGTTTCCTTATCAACATCCATTGGATCTGCTGTTTTGGTAGCTCCTTTTTCTTCGGTTTCTTCTGCAGATGTCTGTTCTGGAACTGCTTTCGGGGTGTCCTCTTGTTGTTGTGTTCCCTGATTCAGACCTTCTTGAACAGATTGTGCTGGTGGTTCTGTTGCAACTTTCCCCAGTGGATCTCCTTGTTGGATGCTTTCCCTATCCACAGCTCCTGGAGCAGAATCATCTTGCTCTTTTTCTTTTGCCTTCGGTGTAGATGCAGCAAGATCAACTGTAGATGGTTGTGAATCATCTTCTTTCTGTGTTTGCTCCTCGTTCTCCTCTTCGTTCTGGTCTATCTTTGTCTGTTTGAATATTTCATTGAGTGTTTTATTCAAACTGACATTAATTTCTTCATCATTCTCTTCTTCATCATCTTCACAATGAGATTTTTCTCCTTCTGTTTGCTGAACATATTCATCACATCTTTCTTTCGCAAGATTCTCCTTGTGTCTGATCAGATTGTCAATTTGGCTTTTGTACTGGTCTTTGATTGCTTTCATCATTGCCTTCATTGATGCTTCAAGCAGTTTGATTGCATTCTCAGCCTGCATAATGGGAGTTTTTGTAAGATACCATGGTGGTAATGTGTGTATGGTGTATGGTTAGTTACCATGGTGGTAATACATGGTATTGGCAATTATTATCACTATTCTGCATTTTTATAACATGAAACTATATCTTACCACACCTTACCATATGGTAACAAAGTAAAACAGAACAAGAATTATGGTTTCCTCCATTTTTATAACATGAAACCATTGCTTACCACACATTACCATATGGTAACGTAGTAAAACACAACAGGACTTATGTTTTCCTCCATTTTTATAACATGAAATCATAGCTTACCATACCTTACCATATGGTAACAAACTAAAACACAGCAGGACTTATGGTTTTTTGCTATTTTAAAACATGAAACCATAGCTTACCACACATTACCATATGGTAACAAAGTAAAACAGAACAAGAATTATGGTTTCCTCCATTTTTATAACATGAAACCATTGCTTACCACACATTACCATATGGTAACGAAGTAAACCACAACAGGACTTATGTTTTCCTCCATTTTTATAACATGAAACCATAGCTTACCACACCTTACCATATGGTAACAAACTAAAACACTGAAGGACTTACGGTTAGCATGAATTGGACAACTGTAATATAGATAATTTGTACTTACTTGGTTGACTGTTCTGATATTCTTCAAATCAAAGTTCAGTGATGATGACTGGTCTGGACTTTTGTTTCTTTGTTTTTTTCGGTGATTCATAGACTGGTTCATTCTCCTCTTCCTCATCAGCTGCATCATCAGCCTCATCGTCACTAATGTTGGCAACCTTTTCGATCTCGTTCAACTCTTTTCCATTGTAGTAGCTCTTAATGTTCTCAAAGTTGCTATCAACATTGTTATCATCATAGTAGCTTACTGTTGGTGTTCGAAGCTGGGTTGAGAATGCCATTTCGTCCAGTTTGTACATGAAGCATACCTTTTTATGCAGATAGTTGTATTAGTTTTTTTCAAAGAGTATCATTTATATATAAAATATATGAGTAACAAGGTTGAAATGGCCAAGGGAATGGAGACTTACTGTAAGGAAGTGAAGATCTGCACTGACGTAGAGGGTTGGTGATTTCAATCCTTCATTCATGTGGTTGAAGAAGTATTTGCACCAGTTGTAGCTGGTGAAATGTTTCAGTTCATCAGTCTTCAAGTACTCAAGCATGTTGAGTTCAGCCATAGGGGCTGAAGTTGGGCACAGCAAGCCTCCGGTGACCAGCAGAAAGAACAATTGTAACCATCTCTTACTGTTTGTAACTGTAGGAAGATCTTTTTCTACCTGACTTAAGCTTTACCCTTGGAGTGGATGCTCCATCTACTTCCAGTAGGGTTTCTATTGCATAATCTGCTGCGTCGTCCCAAGAAATCGTGGGAGGTACAACTTCCCTTTTCCCCATTGGCAGACCATATACCCTATGAAAGTCGATTGGTGATATCTTCATGCGTGTCCCGTCAGGTAGCTTGAACGATTGTTTCATTGGATTGTATTTGTTCATTACGAACAGTGCAAAATGGTTGTTTATCTTTGTCTGCTTGATTGATATTAAGCCTGCTAGGCCTGATATCTCAAGTTTCTCTTTCTGCTCATCTTTTATAGTCCTTGCAATTGCAGATATTCTTGTTGGGCTGCACCTTGTGCGAAAAGTTTTTCTTTGCTTTACCATAGTGTACCTGAATGTAGAAATTAGGAATAGTCTGTTAGCGTGCTTTTTACCATAATATACCATATGGTACCATAATGGTTTCCTACCATACCAAATCAAACCATATATTTATCACATTTTACCATATGGTAATTACATCAAACCATGTCTTATAACATATTACCATATGGTAACGAAGTAAAACACAACAGGACGTATGTTTTCCTCCATTTTTATAGCATGAAACCATAGCTTACCACACATTACCATATGGTAACAAACTAAAACACAGCAGGACTTATGGTTTTTTGCTATTTTACAAGATGAAACCATAGCTTACCACACATTACCATATGGTAATAAACTAAAACACAACAGGACTTATGGTTTTTTTGCTATTTTACAACATGAAACCATAGCTTACCACACATTACCATATGGTAACAAACTAAAAAACAGCAAGACTTATGGTTTTTTGATATTTTACAAGATGAAATCATAGCTTACCACACATTACCATATGGTAATAAACTAAAACACAGCAGGACTTATGGTTTTTTTGCTATTTTACAACATGAAACCATAGCTTACCACACATTACCATATGGTAACAAACTAAAACACAGCAGGACTTATGGTTTTTTGCTATTTTACAAGATGAAACCATAGCTTACCACACATTACCATATGGTAATAAACTAAAACACAGCAGGACTTATGGTTTTTTTGCTATTTTACAACATGAAACCATAGCTTACCACACATTACCATATGGTAACAAACTAAAACACAGCAGGACTTATGGTTTTTTGCTTTTTTACAACATGAAACCATAGCTTACCACACATTACCATATGGTAACAAACTAAAACACAGCAGGACTTATGGTTTTTTGCTTTTTTACAACATGAAACCATAATTTACCACACATTACCATATGGTAACAAACTAAAACACAGCAGGACTTATGGTTTTTTGCTATTTTACAACATGCAATCATAATTTACCACACATTACCATATGGTAACAAACTAAAACACAGCATGACTTATGGTTTTTTGCTATTTTACAACATGCAATCATAACTTACCACACATTACCATATGGTAACGAAGTAAAACACAACAGATTCTACATCAGTTCAGCAACGCATGGTAACAATTCGGTAATTTAGCGAGTTTACTACAATTTTCACATGAAGAGTGACTGAGATACTGTTCTATTGTTCTGTGCATGGATTTCGAAGAAAGAAGTGAGGTTTTACCTTGATATTTTGTGCGAAAACGATTTTTGAGCCTCGTTGAAGTTGGAAACCCTTCGTTTTTCGACGAAGAAGCGAGAACAGTGTATCGTTGAATGATTCTTCGAAAACCTTTGCGAAAATCGTTCGATTTGAAGTTTTTTTCTGGAAGTTTTTGCTGCGATTTTGGTGAGAGAATTGAGGATCGGGAGGAAGAATGGAGAGTTAGAGAGCAGAGGGAAGTGGAACTGTCGCTTGAAAGGTGAGAGAAAGAAGGAGAGAAGGCGGGACAGTTGTCGTTGTCACGTCTGCAATTCAAATTGTTAGAGGGTGATTACTATTTTGCCCCGCGTGTATTTAATTGGCATGATCTTACGGCTGGGAGAATGGCGCGATGGACGGTCAGATGGATGGTTACTGACCGTTACTGATAGATCGGTTACTGAGGTGATCCGAACCCCACAGGAATAAGGTACGGGGGAGAAAAACAAACCCAAACTTACTTAAAACAAAAATTGCGAATCATCAAACCAACCCAAATTTGCACTCAACCCAGTAAGCTGCTAACCACCCCAAATCGAACTGGTTTCTTGCTCAATGTAAACCTAATACGACGGTGATTATTTCAAGGTAATAAAACGGTGGTCGTTCGAAATACTTAAAGAAAAGATGATTAATTCTTTCCGTTACTTATTTCAGACCATTTCACCTAATAGTGTAATTATTTATGGTAATTAAAACCCCACCATAGTATTTCTTCCCATCTCAAATCATTACTCCTATGGTATGTTGAGATTTTGAGATCTCTTTTCCGTAGCAAGTCGCCTGCATTTTTGGCTCGAGGATGACCAAAAATGGTAAGCAAGAAGAAGAATGACAAACAATATACCCTTACCCTTCACAAAAAGAATCCCTTCTTCACTGATACATAACAGTTGCGTTGCTTGAGCTTTCTTCACCTTCAAAACGACGAGAGAACAAGAACAGAATGGTGAGGTACTCTGCTCCATTGTTGCTGAGCTGCTTATGCCTGAGTCTGCTGTTGGGGAACTCTGAGTCACAACCTCGATGGTACAGTAATCATAAGCACTATTATCGTGGTTCAAGGGCAACGCACTTAGGTTTCCCACGGGGGTCACAAGTCCGGCGATCTTACTGGCAAAACGACGTCGGCCTTATGACCGCCAGCAGGGCGGCGGCGACGCTGCCTTACAGAACGGCGGTGGTTGATCAGTCCGGCCACGGCGATTTCAAGACCGTGCAGTCTGCTATCGACTCTGTCCCTTCAAATAATACCAACTGGGTTTCCATCCAAATCAACGCCGGGACTTATAGGTACTTCCGCCCATAATACTCATACTTGTTTTCCTACTACTCGTAGTCCTGTCGCGTGTTTGTAAAATTGTACTGTACCGACAGTTCGATCGAAAAAATCATTTAATTGTTGAAACATTGTTAAATCACGATTTCAACAACGGAATCCCATACTACGATTTTACAATTTTGGTTTTTCTTGAAGTCTTTTCAGTTATGAGGTCTTTTTAGTGTCTTTCTCACAAAATGGCATTGATTTCTAGGGAGAAAGTGGTGATACCGAAAGAGAAACCATTCATAATTCTGAAAGGAAGAGGAAGAAGAAGGACTAAGATTGTGTGGGATGATCACACGTCGATAGAGTGCCCTACGTTCATGTCCCTAGCCGATAACATCATCGTCAAGGGTCTCGGCTTTGTGGTAATTTAACCTAATCTTGTCGCGGTGCATTTGCCGTTGATATTTCGAAATGAACTAGTAAGATACGAATATATACACAAATCTTCATAAGTCAAAATACAGGGGGAAAAAATATCTTGGTAAATAAGACGTTGAACTAATGATAGGGAAGCGTGTGTTTACCGCGGTGTTTAGAAACTTAATTAGGTATTTGTTTAATAACTTGTGTGTTTTTTTGCCTTGAAATCAAATCAAAACAGAACTCTTACAACTACGGTGGTAGTAGTGAAAACGAATTATTGCCGGCGGTGGCGGCTGAGGTGTCGGGAGACAAGACCTCGTTTTACGGCTGTGGGTTCTCCGGAGTTCAAGACACTCTGTGGGACAATGCCGGCAGACATTACTTCAAGAGGTGCACTATTGAGGGTGCCGTGGATTTCATATTTGGAAATGCCCAATCTATTTACGAGGTATGCACTTTGGATGGATGGATGGATGAGGAATTATAACAAATTAATTTCACTAAATTGTATTTTTGAGATATCAACAAAGAATTTTGAATTAATTTGTTTTAAGTGATTTTCAATTGTCCCGATAGACAATTCGAATTGACTCGTTATAATTTACTAGTTTTGTAAAATGAAAGAATTGGTCAAACTATTATAGAATGAGGAACTGGTAAATCTTTCTATGCAAAACTTTTCCTTCTCATTTGGTAGTTTTTCCTTAAATTGGCCCGAAACTCGCACCATTAGACTAATTTGACTAAAATTTCCATCTTGTCCTAAACTAATAACTATATAGACTAATTTGGCCAAATTCGTTGGTTGACTCTCAAAGAATTGGACAAAAAAATATATCAATGTAAATAAAATTAAAAGGATACAAATTCACAATCTTCTTCTATATTTGTATTTCCGTTCCTACTTCTATCACTTTTTCAATTTGATGGTTAACTCACGGACCAACGACAAATGAATTTATATAGTCACTAGGGATTTCAGAAAATCGAAGTTAATTTAGAGTTGGGAGCAATTTAAGGTATTAATTAATTTGTTTTAAGCTCTCTAAGTTAACTTGTGGACCTTGTATATTTGAATCAGGAGTGTGCGATAAGAGTAGTTAAAGGAGGATTCATCACAGCTCAAGCAAGAGAAACCGCAGATTCTCCAAGCGGCTTTGTATTCAAAGGATGCACAGTCTCCGGCGTAGGTCTTTCCTACTTGGGAAGGCCATGGAGGCCATACGCTAGAGTCCTTTTCTTCAAGTCCAACTTCTCTCAAGTTGTGGATCCCAGGGGATGGGATCCTTGGAATCTTTCAGACCAGTAAGCCTTCTTTCCTCTTTTCTTTTCTTTTCTTTTCTTTTCTTGCTCGATCCTTCCTTGTAAAGCAACTGCTCTATTAATCTGTATATATATGTGGGTAAAATGGACAGGAAGGGAGTGATCTATGCTGAGTATGGGAATTTCGGACCAGGAGCAGACACATCAAACAGGGTGAGCTGGGAGAAGAAGCTGTCAGTGGATGTGTGGGAGAAGATGACCAGTATGTCTTTCATCAATGAGGATGGATGGCTACAAAGGCAACCCTACTGACTCAATCACACTGTTTTTGTCCGTAGATAATGCTGCTGCAGGGAGTTGTAGCTCAGTTGGACTAGGAAGTTACACTAATATGCTCACTTAGTTTTAAGTTTAACTCTTCTGTTTTTTAATCCTCTTTACTAATGGAACCGAAATGATCACAAAAGGACGTAGGTTTCCACAAGGTAGTAAGATCATGTACGAGGGCTAAAACGACTTTAGTGTGCCATATTTCTTTGATGCCATATGTTTTTTAGAAAATCGAAGAGCAGTAAACATATGAGAACGAGTGACGAATCTAAGCCGTAAAAAGTTGCCGGCAGAGTTGTCAAACTCTTAACAGATTACAATCAGACAGACATTGCAACCATTGTACATTGAACAAACCTAGGCTAATTCTAGTAGCAGGAAGAGTCTAGCATAGAAACTCTGCTGAAAGCTAGCTTCTAAATGCAGAAAGGTATCACATGAGATACAAGGACAAAATCTTTAATCAAATAACATAACCTCTGCTACATTAGGTCCTACAAGGTTCCAAAGTAAATCAACCGGAAATGGAAGATACATTGTTGACAAGTAACAAAACTTGAAAATCTGGAAAAGACTACTAGCTTCCAACACATCTAGCTCTCGGTCTGCTCCCTCAATCTGCGGATGGTACTCCTCACAGTCACAGCACTTGCGGTACTGTCACAGAAAACACGATTGGGCATCAGCACCACATCAAAAATGGAAAACATATCTGCTGCAAAGTGCAACAAAGTTATAAAGAGATGCGAGTATATCTTACTTCATGGTGTAGGCACCTCCTGCTTTAACCTTGCCACAGTCCTTGCACCCCCAGATTCCCACAGCCTTTCTCTTCACAGCATCCTGGCAAAAGGGAGAAATAAGCTTTACATAAACCGAATGAGGAAGAAACCAAGAATGATTCAGAAAAGACAGCACCCATCAGTACCTTGCCACAGAACTCACAGAAGTACTTTCTGTGCTGGCTAACTTCCATCTTCTTGATTTGTTTCCTCAGACTGGCACCATAACGGGTTCCTGCAAAACAGGAAAGGAACATGAACATTACCTCCACCATCCACAAATCCATAAACCCCTCAAACATAAACACCATGATACCCTCCAGGAACAAAAGAAATGAAAGCCATTGCAGACAGCAACTAGGAAGACTAACAAACATTCAACCAATTGCACAAAACCAAAAACTTGACACCATGTCCTTCAGAAAACCGTCCTTTTTTTTTCCCGCAGTGATGCGGCAAAAGCAGCAAAAAGGAAAAGGGAGGGAAAACGTACCATATTTGCCGACAATCCCAACCTTCTTGGTTCTCTTGGCCTGTTAAAGAGGAGGGAGGTACAGAGACTCAGCTAGGTCCAGTAAACAACATGGTTAAGTGAAAAGATAACATCAAATCCTTTCGCACAACACAAAACCATAGTTTCAGCATGGAAGCACAGAGCATAACTCTCTCATGGTCTCGCCGAATTATTCAAATCAGATCTCAAATGGCCTAAAAGTCCCAATCGTCACTAAATAAAACGGAAGGATTCGCAGCAGCTAGGATGAAGATGAAAGAGAACTTACCATGGCGGACGGCGGTGAGAGATAGCAGCAGAAACCCTAGGCGAGACTCAACAAAGCGAAAAGACTCAATGACGGGTTGAAGTTCGTTATATATTAGGCTCAATTACACTAATGGTCATTGTAATTTAGGTTAATTGATAAACAGGCCACTAGACTTTGAGTGTTAACAAACTAGTCACTGTCTGCAGACTGAAGGCCTGGGCCGGATGTTGGACCATTTTGGATTCCGATTCCTGTGAAGCCCAAATGGGTAGTGATCCGAAATATTGGCCCTGTTTCTGAAGTTCCATTCTAAATTACTCACTCCTCTAGTCCTCTGCTCACTGGATAGCAAGGTTGTCAACCCGCGGGGCGTGAGTAATTTAGAATCGACCCGTGGGATACAGTGGATAGTAAAATTGAGGACTAATACCACTACAACACCCGAACTATCAACAAAATATCACTTGTATCCCGAATTATTCAATATTCTATTTATGTCATAAACTATTTTTCTGTTAGAGTTGACCGACTTTGACTGTCAGTATTTAACAGAAAATCCAGTCAGCATTGACGTGACATCTAATGTGAAATTTTTTATTTATTTTTCCATTAAAAATGAATAAAATGAAAAATATCAAAATGAAAAATCAAATTTTACGAAAAATGAATCACCCAAAAAAAACTTATAAAAAAGAATAACGAAAAATCATTAATCTCTAGCCCAGTCGCGCCCCCTTTCTCTGCTTCTCCTCTTTCTTTCTCTAATTCCACTCCCAAAACAATTTTGAAAATCTTCTTGCATTCCCTCATCCCTTAACACAATCGCACGGCAGCGAGATGCACAAACTTGTCGCGAGGAGCGGACTTCTAGAAGGAGGAAGAAGAAAAAACAATCTCTTCTCCGGTCGCCGACGACCTCGAAGTCGGTAATCGAAAGAGACGTCGCGGCCGCGCAGAATAAGAGGAGGTAGAGCGGAAGCCACGACATCTTTGGGTTGAGAGGATCAAAATGGGAGCCGGTTGCAGTGGGGTAGTTCCAAAAAGGAAGCTTAGATCTGGTGGGAAAGGGGAATTAAAGCAATGAAAATGAGGGGGAGAGAGAGGGGGGATTCGATGGTGGTTGTAGGATAAGAAGGAAGCCATGAAAATGGGAAGGTGAGCTTTTGTTCTTGGTGAATCGATTGATTTGGGGGGACGAAGGTGGAGAGCAGGTGCTTGGCGGCGGCAGTGTGTGGAGGGCGAGGCCGGCGAGACGGAGTGAGAGAGGAGAAAAAGATAGGAAAGCATGGTTGTCACGCCGGCCGGCGTGTCACCGGTTGTACTGGGTTCAATCGGTACCGGTCATAAAACTGGCATGACATCACCGGTATGACCGGCATGATCGATATACGAATCTCTAAGTAAAATGACCTTATTTTAGAGAATTTAATTGATGAAAATTATTTTATTATTTATTTTATGAGTATAAAAGTTAAATATTGATGTTATTTGTTGGATTCAAATATAAATGTTTAGGTATTGACATTAAATGTCATGTTTAAATATGAGTATTTATAATTTTATTTGTAATACTGACCGGCATGAACCGCACAAACCGATATGTGCAACCGGTTGAACCATTCCCCTTGCTAAACCGGCACACTGGCATAAACCGGTTTGACAACCTTGTGGGAAAGTAATTTTTTTTATTTTCTTTTACATTTTTTAGTTATGTTATTTTTAAATTAAAAATTAAATTTTGAATAAAAATAATATGTATCGATGACGTGGCATCTAGGTGGACGCCAAGATTTTGCCATGTCAACAAAAGTCAACATCACTTTGACCACCGTTTGGTCAACCGTTATTTTTGACGTTCAACAAAATCTTCATGATACAAATGGCACAAATTCTCATAAGTTGTGCTAGAATTGAAATATTGAATAAAATATGACACAAGTGACATTTTTTTAATAGTTCAAGTGTTGTGGTGGTATTAGCCCTAAAATTGATAAAGGAAATGAGATAGTTGACAATCGAAAATTAAGAGGGTTTAATGGTTCAATTTGTTTAAGGTGACATTAAAAAACTGAATCGCTATTCGTCACCCTAAAATTTAAATTTTATCGCCCTAAAACACATTAAATTGGCACTTTTAACCCTAACCTTAATTTCTAAACCGTACACTAAGCAAACAATCCCTAAGGTCTCATCTCATTCCAAACCTGATCCCCCGCCTCTGCATTTGGGCAGGAAAATATGTCACCCACCCTTTCCATTGCTGCTGCCACTGCCGTCCACCAGCTCGATTCCGCTGACACTCTGAAAAGGAGGTTTCTTCTCCCGTCACTGCTGCTCCTTGTACCGCCGCCCCATTGCTCCTGCTGCGGTTGCTCTCGAGAAGAAGGAGGAAGAAGGAAGAAAGAACCAGGAAGGAAGAAGAGGGTCGATCGCGAGGAGGAAGAAGAAGACGGCCCGACCGGAGGGGGAAGAAGGCCATCTGAACGAGTAAATTAAGAAGAAGACGAAGAGGAAGAAGACATGGATTGTTTTTCACGTATTTGATATAGTGCAATGGGTGGGATGCTGGGGATCTGGGATGTTTATCCCGTGTTCGTTGTTTTAGTTTCGTTTTGGAAATAAAAAGCTGCTGATTCAACGAAAAAAAAAACAATTTTTGGTTTAGATCAGAATCATTAGATGGCTAATGGTCAAATGGACCACCCTAATTGTAATCAATATAGGATAGTAATTTTGTTTTTGGATTTATCCGTAAACCCGATTTCTTCATTTATCAATTGATTATATTGGTGTGTTTTTGTTATTTGGTAGTTAATGGGTTTGTTTTGGGTATAATTGTTTGAAAGAAAAGAAAAAAATAAGTGAAGAGCATTAGAGTAAATTTAACATAATTAGGGGCGACGAATAAGAATTTTTTGGGAGTTAATATTTGACGCCCTAAATTTTTAAATTTATCGCCCTAAATTTATCAAACAGACGATTTTGCCCAACTTAAAGTAAATCCGGGAACCGACAACTCAACTCAATTTCCCCTCCCTTTCCGGAAAATTTAGGGCGTCAAACTATGTCGCCTACCAGCAACAACCCGTCGAGAAACGGATCGTCTCCCGGCCCAAGCCTTCGCCAGTTCCCTACCCACCCTCACCATTCACCAGACGTAGACACCATGCCTGACTAGCCTGCTCGCCGGCCGGGTTAAAATCCCGTCGCCGGCGGTGTAGGGACAGGTCTTGAACTTTTTTTCGATACCGTCGAAGACGGGATTTCAACCTGTCCGGAGACCATACCCATAATTAAAAAAAAAATGAAGGGCATGATGATCGGTCCGGCGACGGAGCAGAGGTGGGCGACGGAGCAAACAATCGCCCTTCTTCTCTTTCATACCCAGAATTAAAAAAAAAATGAAGGGCATGATGATCGGTCCGGCGACGGAGCA